AGAATCTTCGGTTATGTTTTGCAAGTCATTAAATATTCCATCTCAATCCCTCTCGACCGAGGTGGTTTTGGTGGATGGAATCCTAATGCTGACCGTCAGCAAGAACTGCTTAGTTGAGGCTATAAATGCAGTCGAAATGCTCAACTTTGTATGGAAGTCCCAGTGGTAGAGCACCAAGATCAAGCTAAAATTATACCAGAGCTGTGTCCTATCCACCCCAAGTATAGCCCTGAATTTTGGGAATGACAGAAGGGGATCTTTCCAGGCTGTCAGTCTTCCACACAAGAAGCCTGAGAAGAGTCATGAGGACGTTCTGGCCAAACGTCATCTCCGACAACCAACTACTTGTTAAATCAGGCATGTCCTGAGGAAGAAATTGACGGAAACACACGTGTGGCACTCCACTGGACACTTGAAAGGAAAGGTGGGGAGGAGAGGCAGACCATCACAAAGTGGAAAGAGAGCTGAAAACCTGGAACCACACATGATATAAATATTTAACGAATAGATTCCATGTTGCCACACACCAGTTTAGTAATAGAGCACAGGTCACATCAAAATAAGGTTACTGATGATCTTACCTCATTTTCTCCTCTTATGTGATCTTTTACTGAACAGACCCACAGTGGCATGGAGTTGATTTGCTTTATATGATAAAGAAGCAAAAAACTTTCCATGGGGATGTCATGTGAAAAACTAAGCCAAGTGTAAAAAAAATGATTAGAAATAAGGTGATAAAAACAAAAATTTTAAGAATTAGTTATTTTAAAGGGATTGAATATTGCTTGAGTAATGTCTCGGAGTCATTGTTTGCTCCAGTAGTCATGGTACATTTATGTGTGCAAGACCACAGAGCTTTTCACACTGTTATGACAGACTGCTAACGACATAAACATGAAGATGAAGGAAGCTGTTTTGTTTACTGCTTTGGTATCATAGAAACAAGAGATAGCAAAACAATATTTCTACTTCAGTTTTGAACTTATCCATGTAAAATTTATTTTTATGGCTCTGCATCAGTGAGGACTTGAAGACTGGTGCATGCTAACTCAGCTCTAATAAGTTATCAAGAACCTAAAAGTGGAAAGATGCCAATAAGAAATAAGGGAGGGTCATCTAATGGCTGCCAAACTTGGTAGGCAGTTAGCTGGATGGCTTAGTTTGACAGTTGAGAAGAAATGCAGAAATTTCTCCTTGTGAAGGGTTTTTAAATATATCTGGATTATACTTAGCCCAAACTGTGGTTGGCATGGTGAACTTGTGATAGTAGGATTTTAAATTCATCAGTGATGAAACCACTTTTTATTATATTTTTGGTTTTCTTAATCCGACAGCCTCTCTGTCAGTAGATTTGCACTGCGCATTTTGTGCAACGCATAAAAATCAGGCGAATAAATGCGCGCGCATTCAGAGAACACAGTATTAGTGTATTTTAATAAGGTAAAGAGGTATGATAGTCCTAAGCTCGTGAACGAGCACGGTGAACTATACTATCTTTATTGCATAATTTTGTTGTACAAATGATCCCCTTAAATAAGAGAAATTTTAAAAAAAACAATCAAATGGAAAAAAGATGTGGCTGAAAGCGTACACAAAGCCCGTCACACGATGATGCAAGTTATGATCTTGAAAGCAACGACTCGAGGAGCATTTCGAGTCGATGTCAAATTGTTCCAAATGCTCGAGACTTTCTACTTATCAAATTTTAACAAATATTTCTTTAATTACCCTTGCTCCCAGCTACCTCAAAATGTACCATGAACCGATGAAATGACGCGCGTGATTAGTGCAGGAACAGGCTTAAGTGCGGGAAAGTTTGGTTCATCATATCTCCTAAACAAGCATGGTGACCTACCTTAAAAATTGCATTTTTCGAAACAGACACTGGTGGGGAACATTTAGGGAAAGTTGAAAAAAAATGGTTCGATAAATTTTTTTCTGAGGAATCACCTTAACAATTATTTACCAAAGCGGAGGTGAGTAGTCAGCTGAGTAGTTAGTCAACAAATCTTTTCAAGCGGCCGGTGTGTCAGCTGATGATGTCTATGACAGAGATACAGTCCCAAAAAGTAATGTTTGGCTAAGAAGCAAAGCGTAATTGTGTTGGTCACTTAACTTAACGCGATACAGAATTGCCGCTCAGTTATCACGCAATAACCCCTGTTTATGGGTAATCACATGATTTCTCCTGCAATTTGATGTTAATAAGCAGGAATAAAGACAACAAAATTGCACGGGCCCGTAAGGCGGGTGTAATTTGTAGTCTTTGAAATTTGGTGCTTATTACACCAAATTGCAAGAGAAATCATGTTACAACTTGTAAACAATGTACAAGAAAAAAAAAGACCAAAGAAAGTCAAGACAGACGAAATTTTGAAAGCGTGCGCGCACTGTTTGTAATTTGCACTCGTTTTACAACTTTAAACCCTTGTTACACGAGAATGTACTCGTTTTCAGCCAATCAGAAGGGCATTATGTACATTATTAAAATAGAAGCATCGGGTGCAAAAACGGTTTCACGAGAAGCACAACACATGGCAGGAGAACCTTTCTTCTTTGTCATAATACCTCAGTTCTTCATCGAAAATCAACATGAAAACACTCCAATATCTTATCCTCCCTTTTCATTTATTTCATCTTACTAAACATCCAAAGTAGTGAGTTTCCTACGATACAGCGCAGATAAAACACAACATCAACACTATCTTCATAGAGATTATCACGTACTTACTTTTCCCCTTGACATTAACATATACAATCACTTTACAGGATAAACATTCTAGAAACTTAGTCTCGTTAAACAAATGTAATGCCAAATATTTTTTCTTTATAGAAAAGCGGGGATTTTAGCTAATCTTCAATGTCTAAATCTAACTGCTCCTTATCGAATATTATTTTAGCGTTCGTTGAATAATTTTATGATTTGCTATTTTTTTTCATCACATATCATATTACAGCAAAATCCGAGGAAATTGAACATGTGGTCTACTTTTGTACACGTATAATATCCTTGACCGTTAGGCAAGCAGTCAACCACGTAATAGCAAAGATGTACTTCAAATTTGCACTCCAGTTTACGATTGACATGGTGGCCATTCTTCTTCTCCTCGTCAATCGCCTTCTTCAAACACTTCCCCATGTTTATCATACCTTCATAACTACATGTGGGAAAATTCTTAAATGTATGTGGGGTCGTATTGGGTCCACTCCTTCTATAACGGCCATGACCTTAAAGCAAAGAAACACATGTATCACCAAAAATGATACTGCTATTGTAAAGTGCCATATATTTACACATAGTTATATATTTCAAGTTCATAATGTTTTCGTAATTCTTTTTTGGTAATTTTTTGTTCTTCAAAGGTTTATCTTATTGAGGTAAGATGAAAATTATCAACAGACAGAGGTAAAGAGAGAAAACTAAAGAAAAAAGTAAAAAAGTTAATAGTATTTCATGCAAGATCATCTAATTACGTTTCCTGCACGTCCAATTATAAAAGTCTGAGGACAAATCAAGTTAAAACTCCTGTATATGAAACATATGTCATCAATTACGGGCGGTGTATTTAGTTGATAGATTTTCTTTCAATAGTTAACCCACCTCTACTGAACGAGCTCACATTAAAATCTATCGAGGTTTGTTCAATGGTATAGATTGGAAAACTCCCACAGAATTCCAGAAACTTCTGAGGCAAAGCTGATCGCTTCGCAAAACCCTCCACTGTCCAAGCCCTTTTCTTGGTTGTCACATGATGGGGTAAGCGGGGCTGCATCGAGGCCTGTACATGAGGAATGAAGAACATGGAACCGAGACAATAATGAGCTGACAATTTTAAAAATGCTCCAAAATGTATTAATTACCTAGACACGCACTAGCTCATGTATCATGTTGGGCGGCCGTCGTTTGAAATCTACTTGGCATGCTTGCCCAGTCCAGCGTTTCATTAACAGCATGCAATGAAATTTGCATATCAATCAAATCTATTATGATTTCGGTAGTTAAAGAAACATGTTTCGCAGTGTTAAGGACTTGAAGTGAATTGGCAGTGGGATGAACTTGCAACGGGGCGGAAGTTCCATAACCCACAACTGAGGCTGCCTAAATACGGTACATTCAATAATGTATATATATATAGTTGTAAGAAATACATAGATATTGGAGTCTCGCATCAAAACAATTTGTTTTGAATAACTCTCATAGCTTCGGTTATTGGACCCTAACTGGAGCTGTCATAACTATTTTCCGACTTTTTGAAATGATTTCTAAAGTGGTCGCTAGAAATAACTTAAAAGTTTTAACGATTAGTATATTTAATGGACTAAAAACGTGGACGGCGGCTCTGTCACGAAAGGTAAAGAAATAAAGGTTATGCGAAAAAGTAAAATCCTCTTCAAAAAACAAAAAGTTCTAAATGCCATAGAAATAAATTTTAAAACTTTTCACTCCACTAAGAGATTATAATGCCTGATTTATTATGTCTTGACTAGACCTGTTCCATGTTGACTCTCATCTTCCCTGGCTCTGGAAGAGATGAATCCAGCTTAGATACATAGCAGGC